AGGAGCGCGAGGCCCGGCTGGCGCAGCGCGAGCAGGACGTGCGGCGCGGCCAGCAGGACCTGGAGCGCGAGCGCGAGGAGCTGCAGCACCGGAAGGGCGCCTACCAGTGCGACCTGGAGAGGCTGCGCGCCGCGCAGAAGCAGCTGGAGCGGGAGCAGGAGCAGCTGAGGCGCGACGCCGAGCGCCTCAGCCAGAGGCAGGCGGAGCACGACGCCTGTCAGGTGAGGGCGTCCGCCCCGAGGGTGCGGGCAAGCAGAGCCCGCGTCCTGAGCGTCCTGAGCGCGGGGCGGGGGCGGCGGGCGGGGGCCCCGAGCTGAAGTCAGGGGTTTCCGTGGGCATTCGGGAACACGGACGGCCGTGGCCGACCGGGCCGCCGGTGGACGCTGTCCCGTGTTGCCGCGTGTCTGGCTGACTGACTGACCTGGGACCCGGAGAGGAAACTCAAGTAGCATCTTCCAGAGGGCGGTTCGGCTGTAAGGTGGGAGCGGGTGGGCTCCAGCCCCATGCCAGTAACTCAGCAGAGCTCCCGCCGAAGCAGCCCCCCTCGCCTGCCCCGGGCCGATCAGACGCTGCTCCTCCCTCTCTCTGGTTTCACCTCCGACTCCCCAGCACCCTGTGCGCCGACAGGCTCCCGTAACCCCTCAGCCCCGAATAATTCTGCACAGCCCTGTGTGAATCAGTGTTCACATAAGCAGCGCTCCCGCTTCTCAAGGGAGTGGGAGTTCTTCCCTGAGCTGCCTCATCGAAGGTACTACTAATTCTTCGTGGTGCTGACATTACGCACGTGCAGTAAAAATAGGAATGGTGTCGAAGGTGGTATTTGTAGCACCTTCCCAGGTACTGGGTGGGGAGGGCTGGTCAGGAAGTCCTGAATGCTCTGTTGCGAGGGCCGAGGCATCCAGGAGGCGGGTCGCACTGGGCTGACGGCCCCCACTGTTGACCTCAGCACGTAGCAGGCTCTGGGGGTGCCGCCGGCCCCTGACTTAGAGCCGATGTTTTGACCGTGTGCAGGTGACACATCAGCACACCAGGCTGCTGAGGATCCCATCCTTCCTTCCGAATCCTGAGGAGTCCCCCTCGCCATCTGCACCTTCGGTCGCCAAATCAGGATCCCTGGACTCGGAACTCTCGGTGTCCCCAAAAAGGAACAGCCTCTCTCGGACACACAAAGATAAGGGGCCTTTTCACATACTGAGTCCCGCCGGCCAGACCAACAAAGTGCCAGAGGGTCAGAGCCAGACCCCCGTGCCCACCTCCACCTCCACCCGCCTGTTTGGGTTGGCTAAGCCAAAGGACAAGAAGGAGAAAAAGAAGAACAAAAAAGGCAGCCGCTCTCAGCCTGGTGGTGAGTGACACACACCAGGTCTCCCTACGGCCATGTTGCTCCTGGATCCTGAAGGGTGGGCAGGCTTAAACCGAGGGTGCCATTCGACTGTGTCAGAGCCGCACCACCGTCCCCCTCAAGCCCACTTGCTCTGCCTCTGGAGGGCTGCCTGGACTCCCACTAAGAACACGGACCCCCCGGGCATTTCAGACCCCCTCTGTGTGCACGCGGGTGCCAAGGAGGGCGCGCAGGTCTGCGTGTGGGGGCGTCTGTTGTTACCCAGCTGAGGGCCTGAAACTCACCTCAGTGAAGACTAAAGTCTTCCCTGCTTTTCTGTAGGTCTAGTCCAGTCATCAGTATAACTAGTACTTGGTGAGCATTTCCCAGGGTCTGATGAAGCCCGCAAGTGGCTGTGTGAAGTAGGTGATGCCAAGCTCGTGATTAAACCCCACTAACCGAGGCTCCCAGTTTATGCAGCCCTTTCCCCTAAGTCCTCTCTCTGTTCCTTCTCCTTAGGATTGTTCCCTCTCATCTCTGTGGGAGATCAAAGAGAAGTTTCTGTCTCTGGGCCTGTTTGTGAACAGGAGGTCCAGTGCTTTGTCAAGTTAAAGGGACCAGGGGACAGCAAAGAGTGTCAGAGGACCTCATCTACTAAACCAGTCAGGGAGCCCCAGTGGGGGGGGGGGGGGGGTGGACTGCCCACCTGGCCAGCAGCTGTTGCATCCCAGAAGACTCGGATTGAGGAGGAAGGGAAGAGAAGGGAGTTCAATGAAGAGAGCAGGTTTTTTTTGAAGTTCTTTCTCCTTGGTTTCCCCTTTCCCAGATGGCCCCCCGTCAGAAGTGCCCGCGGAGGGTGAAGAGATCTTCTGCTGACCCTGCCCTCTGCCATGACCACTGCCTCCTGTCCAGCCCCGCCTCTCCTGCTGTTCCTGGGTGTGGTCTCTTACCTTGGACACCCGAGCTGCCCCAGGTCCTGGACCAGAGGGACAAATGGTCTCGAATGTCAGGGTGGGGTAGGAGACCCGGGATTGGCGGCTGCCGAGGGCTCCTGGCTCGGGGCGGCCCTACTGAGGATGTTACACTGAAAGTAGGTGGCCCCAGAAGTCAGGAGATGGTTTTGGACATGTCAGGAATCTCTAAAGGCTGAAAGAAGTTTCTAAATAAGGTCTGAAATTCTACCTGCCTTTTATTTGAGGGACACAAGCAACAGTCAAACAACAGATAGTTTGGATTTGGTCTGTGTACATAGTTACCTGTCTGCATATACGTGTGCATGCCAGAATTAGGCGCCGTCTGTAGCAGGGGCCTGGTCGGCTTGGCGCAGGAGGTGCCACTCGGCCCTGCTCCGGGAGCACGCGGGCGCTTGGCACGTCCCCCCCTCCCTTGTCCTCCAAGGCGGTTTTCCTGTCACCCTATTCCGTGCACACCTCCCCTCTTTCTGCATGTATTTCTCATTTCATTTTAGAAGGGCTGGCAAGCATTTGTGAAAACCAGTGAGAGAAGGCATGATGTGTTCAAAAAACATATATATACACACACACAAACGTGTGTGTGTATATACATATCTGTACCATCTTGATTTTGGTGTTCGTCATTAAAAAAAAAAAACAACCTAATTTTAACATGAAATCCAAAGAAATCATAGACTGCCTTTCCAAGATGTTTGCCCACATACTCTGGGCACAGATGCAGTCTCCTCGTCCTTACTCCTGCATTGTGCCACTTTCTGGTTGTCACTGACCCCCGGCCTCCTGGCACCATCCCAGGGGAAGCCGCTGCTTCACAGCAAGGTTGTCCCCACCCCTGCACTAGGACAGGGCCCCCGGCCCCTCTGTCATTTTTATACCGGGAAAGCCCGAGAGGGAGCTGGCCCAGGTGTGGCTGGGAAACTTGCTCATTCGGTATCAGGAGGCCAGGGCAGAATTTGATTTCTTAACCCATTTTCCAAATCTAAAGGTCTCTTGGTTATTGTACCCCACCCCCTTGAAGGTGCCAGATGTGGCCTGCTTTCTCTGCGCTTTCCCGCACTGTTGGTGATCTGTTTTGCTTGAGGCTCGTGAGCTGCTGCTGGGAGCAGGATGGTTCGTGGAGTTCTCTGAGGCCCCCTCTCCTTGCTGGACTCACTACTCCCTGTGAGGGGAGACCCTGGAGAAGTCTGTGCTTTCGGTGTGCCCTTCATTCCTGCTTCTCACCCCTCAGGAGCGTGGGTCTTTGAACATACTTTTAGGAAAACGAAATCTGTAACTTGGTGCTTGTTGATGTATTGCAAGCTGGCCTTGCAGATGGAGATATTTATCTTTCAGTTTATTTGAAAGAGGTCTGGTTTAAAATTTTTAGCTTAGATTTGTTTATTTATTTGTGTGTGTGTGTGTGTGTGTGTGTGTGTGTTTTAAGCCCTACGGTTTCAACTGTCTGATCCGTGCACAACGTGACCAGCCACAGCACTGCTCCCTCCTCAGTGTCTGTCAAAGTGCGTGAGGGCCCAAAGGAAAATGAAAGGGGGATCCATTCCCTTCTTCCCCTCCCCCTACCTCCTTCTTCCATCAAGGAATGTCGTCTTCCTTGTGTGAGAGTTGAGAAACTTGCCACCTGTGAGTTACGCTCACCTGTTTGTCACGGAGATTTCTTAGCCTTCAGAAACACTTTAAGAACAAGACCAGCTAAGCTAATCATCTTTTGAACCTTGGTGTAAACCACCCCCCCTGCCCCAAACCCTAAACAGGGAAAAGAGCGGTTACTTCCTCGCTCGGGCCACATAGCCACGTCTGCGCTGGTTTTCCTCAGATGTGCGTGGGGCCCGGCTGTCTGTTCTTGTCACCAACTCGAGCTCCCCTCTGGGCTCGCCGTCCCACAAGACGTGGGCTGCTGGAGGGAATGGCACCGGGGAAGGAAGCCCCCATCCTCCTTCCTCGGTGTCGTCATTAAAAAAACATAGGCCAGGCCACCCTGTCCCTGGGTGCCTGCACCAGGAAGTGCGGGGTGCTGACGAGCTGGGCCCTGTTCTCTCCAACAAAACGCTGTGGACCCCGAGTTTCTGTCCATGGCCGCCCAGCCTGATGGCAATTTGAAAGCGTCTCTTACTCCCAACTAGCTCTAAGGTTGAAGTTGCTTTGGTGGTGGTGTTTAAATGGAGGCTGCACCGGCACCCACCCCCAGTCACTTAGCTCAGGCAGGTTCTGGTTGGACAAGTGTAGAATCAGACTTGGAAAGTAGCCTCCTGCCTCCACCCCACTGCCCACCGTCATCCAAAGTCGAGTCTGCAGTGCAGAGAGACAACTGCTTGTTAAGAGCCGCGCTCTGACATGTCTTCCTTCCCCTCCCCCCACTCCCCCGGAAACTGATCGCTGGGGACTTCTTTGTCATGCTTGGAGAACTACCTGGGTTGTTGCTGCTTGTGCTTGTGACCTTGAGAACCGCTCTGGTTCCAGAGGCAGTTCCCTGTTGTGTCCTCCAGCAAGCTCAAGAAAGCAGATGCCGGGCGTTGTGGTTAAGTTTTGGGGGGACAGATAGAGACACCAGCCAGAGTCCCCAGATTTCCAGAGTCTAGTGAAGTTCCTGGAAGGAGGCTCAAAAATTCTCTCAAAAATGCCATCATCTCAGAAGTTGTCATCCCAGTTGGGTGACGTGCACTTTAAATGCTCTCATCTGTCGGCTTCATTTTTGAGACAATCAGCTATGTGAACTGTTTTCTTCTTTGAAAATGGAGAGGGTTAAAAACATGCAAATTGCCATAATTCAGCCTTTGCCAACATTCCATTCTCTACCCCCACGAGAGCGATCTGTGGGGAAGAAATCCTTATCAAGATTTTTTTATTTTTTTGAAAAGGTACGAATCTTACCTTTCTCCCTCTTATGTCTCAGGGTAGCACCACTAAAGTTGTCTCTTTGAGAATAGTTCTCCCTTATTCTCGTCCCGAGCCCCTAGTAGCAGTAAGCACAAATTTTCAAGACCCTTGGGGTTTGTTGTCCCTTTCCTAGGAGGGGGGCAGGTATGGGGGTGCAGGGTTTGATAAAGTAAGCTCCGCCTTAAGTGAAGGGCAGAACCATACCTTAGAGGCCAGGACTTGATCCAGAAGTTGCTGTTCACAGAAGTACTGATATTTCATTGCTTGGTCTCTCAGTGGCTTTTCCATGGCCAGTTCTTTCTTCCCAAGGATTTTGGTATTTGTCCGGGAGGGCGTGGGGAGGTTGCAGTCCACTCCAGTGTTGATGGGTGACTGGTTGTGCCCAGGCCAGCCGAGCCCTGGGAGGAACGGAGACACTGTTCGGGTGAGTGGGCCTCAGTGGCTGTCCACAGGGTGGCTTGGAGGGGGCGCCAGACTCTGCCAGAGGGGATCGACCCCCCGCCCCCCAGGCTTGGACGCCCTTGGACTGTGGAAGCCCGGAACCAGCCCTGTAGGTTAGACAGCATGTGCGCCCTGCCCGCCCGCCTTCCGTCCAGACACACGCATGCCGGTGGTGCTGGGCCCCGCTCCCTGACACGCAGAGACAGAGGGAAGGGCAAAGAGTTTGTTGTGGTTTGTGTCTTCATTTGTCTTCCAGTGTAGCCTGACATTCCCAGTTACCCAGAACTTTGGAATCTGCTTGCTGGCCAGGTTTCAAAGTGAAAAGTATTTTAATGCTGCCATAAAAGTAAAAACAAAAAGGAAGGGAAAAACAAAGGCTTCTGTCCTTGTACCCCTCTAATTTAATTTGTCAAAAGATTGACAGGCCTTGAATTAACTCTCCATCTCGCTAAGGTTGAAAGCCGGGCAAACCCAGCTGGCGCATGCCCTCTGGCCCCAGACCACGAGCCTGGCCTGTGCTGGGGGCTCCTCGCTGCCTCGAAGCAGAGCGCGCTGCCTCTTCACCCCAGATACTCACCCACCTTGAGCTCTCCTGCCTTTTGCAGCCACCCGCCTGGGGCCCGCCCGGTCAGCTTGCCCACAGTCACGGTTCAGCCTGTGGTTTCTGTGTTCCTTGCCTGCTGGGGGCACGGGGAGACGCCCGGACCTGCAGGAGGGCGATTACCGTACACCTTATACCTCTGCTTTTGTGGTTTTCAAATACTAGACGAACATTTCTGTGCTAGATTCTTTTAAATAAAAAGGGGTTAAAACCCAGATGCTGTATATTAATTTGTAATTATGTATAAAGTAAAGCAGTTTTAAACTGTAAAAAAATTTTTTCAGTGTGTTTTCTGGGATTTTGCCACAACATACTGGCTTTGTATTTTATTTATCTTCCTTTTTAGTTATTGGCTTCAGACTCTACTTGTAAAGTCCCCTCCACCCTTTCAAAAAATAAATGTCCTTTAAGTCTCGATTGTTGCCGTGTTGTATTCTATCCCCATGGGCTTTCTGGAGGGCATCCCAAGATACTCTGGGCTCCTAGTAAAGGGGTACCCCCCCACTCCAAGAAGAGCCCTTTCCCCAAAGAGAACTTCTGTTTCTAATGTACCTCTGGGAACAGGAGTCAGGAAGAGTCTGTAAGCACTCACTGGCTCCTCGGAGACATTTTCCTGGGGCCCAGATGCAAAACCGGGGGGTGACTGGCCAGCCCTGAAGTGATGGGATTTGTGCCTGGAATCAAAACTATTTTCAGGCAGATCAGTGCAGTAAAATCGTCCTTTGCTAAAGATTCTACTCTGTAAAAAGAATTGATGTTAGTTTGCCTTCCTTTGACAACTTTCTCCGCCCATATGACCCCCCCACCCACCCAGGAAGAGGACTTTGGGGGACACTGGTGGAATAGGAGGACCCTAAGCTCACCTCGTCCCACAGACACGACTAGGTAACACATCAGTGCAAACAAGCCAAAGACTGACTCCACAACTAAATGTAGAAATGAGGCCTTATCAAAGAGGGGAGGAAAGGGAGAGACACTGTGGGGAGCTAAACAGATCACAGCCCTCCATGGGAGGGAGGGAACAGGGCCCAGAAGAGGGGAGAAAAACGGATCATCACACTGGGGAGCCTGCACGGGCAGGACGAATCCCCATTACATTTTGCTTTGAAAACCAGAAGGGCTGAATTTCACAAGTTCTTAGAACCAGTGGGACTTAAAACCTGGAACCTTAAAAATCAGCTGGCTTGGCTCTGGGAGTCTGGATGGCAATGGAAACCTGAGTCCCCACCCTTAAAGAGACAGCATGACAAACAGCCCAGGGAGACACAGTATAGAAACAGCAGTTTGAAAACCACCTGGGACATACAGGAGGGAGAGTTATTTACTAACCTCAGAGCACGTGCAGGAAGGGGCAGAGATCATCGGGAGACTCCTCCAGGACCTGGCAGATGCCATTTCCCTCCTCTGCCCCCCAGCATCAACACACAGCCACCTGCAGGAATCAGAGAGCTGATCTTCACTACCCAACTTGCTAACACCTCACCCCACTCCCTGCCCTTTGGCAGATCCACCCCCTCCAGCCAGGCCTGCCTCAGTCCTGGCGCTGCAGGTCCCCTCCCCCAGAAGGCTGCGAGAACCTTGCCAACACTTCATGTCCTATCGCCATGCACTTTGCGGATCCGTCCCTTCCAACCTGGCCAGCCTTGGTCCCCGTGGCTGCAGGCCCCCTCCCACAGAGGACTGGCATGCGAACCTTGCTAACACTGCACATCCTGCCCAGCACACTTTGTAGATCCGTGCCCGCCAATACACTCTTGGCAGGAGCCCACCCACAGCAGAGCCACGAGCCACAGTGTGCAGGCAGCCCTGACCTGAGCCAGCACTGCTTCAAAGAGACTCCTGCCCCAGGGAGCGGGAAAGACAACCATACACACCAGTCAGACCGCAGCCCCAGCAGTGGGCTGGGGACAGACATCTGGTCTGACTACAGGCCCCGCCCAACAACAAAACCTTCTCAGGGACAACACAGGGAAAGTGCCCTGTAGTTTGGTGATACCACAGCTCTGGCAAACGTCTGGTCTGACTCAGCCCAAGCCCAAGGCAGCCCCGGAGCAGCCCACTAACAGTACAGGGACCAAACTGTGCCCACACCAGGGCAAAGAGGGCCACTGCAGGTGATTGAAAAAAACAGGCTGCATGCAACACACACAGAGATCCCCCCCCCCACCTCGGGGGGTGCCTGGGGGCTTAGGCAATTGAGCATCTGTCTTGATTTTGGCTCAGGTCCTGATCTTGGGGTCATGAGACTGAGCCCTGCATCAGGCTCCATGCTTAGCGCTGAGTATGCCTGAGACTCTATCTCTCCCTCTCCTGCCCCTCCCCCTGTTTGTGCTAAATAAATAATTAAAAAATAAATAATTTTTTTAAAAAAAGGAGACACCCTTGAAGCGCCCAGGTTCTGCACTGCAGGGCACTACAGGACCTCTTCTTCCACTACTTGCAAGAGTAGGAGACATAGGTTACTTTCCTAACACAGAAACAAAGTTAGACAAAATGAGGGGACAGAGGAATATGTCCCAGGTGAAAGAAAAGGACAAAATCACATCAAGAAACCTAAGTGAAATGGAGGTAGGTAATATGCCTAACAATTTCAAGTAATGATCATGAAGATTCTCACTGGACTTGAGAGTGGAGGACCCTTAGCAAAGAGATAGAAAACATAAAAGAGAACCAGAGATGAAGACCTTAAAAAATGAAATTAAAACTACATTAGGTGGAATAAATAGACTCAGAGGAAGCAGAACAGATCAGTGACACTTAGAGGACAGAGTAGTGGAAGGCAATCAAGCTGAGCAGGTGAGAGAAAAAAAACAAAATGAAAATTGACTTATGGAACTCAGTGATAGTATCAAGCATACTAACATTCACATTATAGGGATCTCAGAAGGAGAAGACAGAAAAGGGGGCAGAAAATTGACTTAAAGAAATAATAACTGAAAACTTTCCAAATCTGGGGAAGGAAACAGAAATCCAGATCCAGGAGGCACAACAAAATCAACCAAAGGAGGTCCACACAAAAACATAGTAATTAAAATGGCAAAAAGTAGTGATAAAGACAGAATTTTAAAAGCAACCAAAGAAAACAGTTATATACAATGGAAACCCCATTAGGCTATCAGCTGATTTTTCAGCAGAAACACTGAAAGACCAGAAAGTAGTGGAATGAAATATTCAAACTGCTGAAGGAAAACAACCTGCAGCCAAGAATATTCTATCCAGCAAGGCTATCATCTGAATTGAAGGAAACAGTTTGCATTTCTCAGACAAAAACTAAAGTAGTTCATGACCACTAAACCAGTCCTACAAAAAATACTAAAGAGGGCTCTTTGAGTGGAAAGAAAAGACCATAAGTAGGAGTAAGAAAAATAGGAAGCACAAAAGCAGTAAGAAGAAATATATCTGTAAAAATCAGTCAAGGGACTCACAAAATAAAAAGATGCCAAGTATGACACCATAGACCTAAAACATGGGGAGGAGAGAAGTAAAGAATGGGTTCAAACTTAAGCGACCATCAACATAATACAGACTGCTACATGCAAAAGATACAAAGCTAATGGTAACCAGGAATCAAAAACCACCAATAAATAGATTGCAAAGAATAAAGAGAAAGGAATCCAAGCGTATCATGAAACAAAATCAGCAAACCATGAGAGAGCAAGAGAAGACAGGATCAGAGATAAAATACAAAAACAACCACAAGACAAGTAACAAAATGGCAATAAATACAAATCAAGAAGTCCTTTGACTATAAATGGACTAAATGCTCCAAAAGACATAGGATGACAGTATAGATAAAAAAAAAAAAACAACAAAACAAGACCCATCTATATGCTGCCTACAAGAGACTCCTTTCAGACCTAAAGACACCAGCAGATTGAAAGTGAGGGGATGGAGAAACATATCTCAAGCAAATGGATGTCAAAAGAAAGACAGAGTAGCAATACTTACATTGGACAAAATAGACTTTAAAACAAAGACTGTTAACAAGAGACAAAGGACATTATAATAAGGGGGACAATCCAACAAGAGGATATAACAATTGTAAATATTTATTCACACAACATGGGAGCACTCAAATGCATGAAACCATTAATAACAAACATAAATGGAATAATAGACAATATTACAATAATAGTAGGGGACTTTAACACCCCATTTACATCAATGGACAGATCATCCAAACAAAATAAGGAAACCGTGGCTTTGAATAACACACTGGACAACAATGGATTTAACAGATATATTCAGAACATTCCATACTAAAACAGCCAAATACACATTCTTTTCAAGTGCACATGGAATGTTCTCCAGAATAGTTCAGATATTAGGCTACAAAACAAGCCTCAACAAATTCAAAGAGATCAAAGTCATACCATACATCTTTTCTGACCACAATGCTATGAAACTAGAAATCAGCCACACACAGACACTCAGAATCTGGAAAGACCACAAATACAAGGAGGTTAAATAACATGCTACTAAACATTGCATGGGTCAACCAACAAATCCAAGAGGAAGAAATCAAAACATACATGGAGACAGATGAAAATGAAAACAACACTCCAAAACCTCTGGGATGCAGCAAAAGCAGTTCCAAGAGGGAAGTTTATAGCAATACAGGCCTACCTCAAGATGCGAGGAAAATCTCAAACAACCTAACCTTACACTTAAAGGAGATAGAAAAAGACCGACAAATAAAACCCCAAACCAGAAGAAAGGAAATAATAAAAGATTGGCAGAAATAATAGAAACTTAAAAACAAAAACAATAGAATAGATCAATGTAACCAGGAGCTGTTCTTTGAAAAGATCAACAAAAGTGATAAACCTCTAGCCAGTATCATTAGAGAGAGACAGAGAAAGGACTCAAACAAAACCACAAATTAAAGTAACAACACCACAGAAATAGAAACAACTTAAGAGAATATTATGAAAAGCTATATGCCAACAAATTGGACAACCTAGGGGGAAAAAATGCATAAATTCCTAGAAACATATAATTTCCCAAAACTGAATGAGGGAGAATTAGAAAATTTGAACAGCCGATTACCAGCAATGAAGTTGAATCACTAATCAAAAAACTCCCAAGGGGCGCACCTGGCTGGCTCAGTCAGTTGAGCATCCCACTCCTGATTTTGGCTCAGGGCATGATCTCAGTGTTGTAGGATCAAGCCCCGCATCAGGCTCCACACTCAGCGTGGAGTCTGCTTGAAATGCTGTCTCTCTTTTTCCCTCTGCCCCTCCCCCTGCTCATGTTCTCTCTTGCTCTCTCTCAATAAATAAATAAAATATTTAAAAACAACCAGAAAACTCCCAACAAAAGTCCAGGACCAGATATCTTCACAGGGGAATTCCACCAAACATTTAAAGAAGAGTTAATACCTATTGTTCTCAAACTATCCCCAAAAATTGAAGG